TACGATTTTATTTTATCGAACATTTTTTTAATAGTAATCAGTTAGATATATAAAAATGAATTTTATTTTAATTAAAATAAAAAATAATAGATATAATTAAATTGATTTTTTCCTGAGAATAAAATGAAAATTAGAGTTATTTATTTAATTAATTAATGTAATATATTATTTAAAAACGTGTCAGTTAGAGAAATAATGTTCGATTTGATAAAAAGAATAAAATAAAATTTGTTTTTTAAAAATTTAGATGATCTTGTTGAACGTTGAAATGAATGTGAATATTTATTTAATAGTCAATATGATTTAATAGAAAATGTTAATACAATAAATCGAAAAGAAAATCCATCTCGATCATGTAAATCACGTTTGGATTTATCATTAAAATTATTTTATTATTCTATTGAAAATATCTTAACTATTGGAAAAAAAAACAGATTAATTTCAAATGAATTTAATTCACAACAAATTCAACAATCATTTCAATAAACGATTTTTCTTTTAAATGGATAAATAAATAAATAAATGGATTTATTTTAGTAAGTTAATATTAAATAATTATTAGTATTATATGCTCATTCGGATAAATATCATGATTTTAATTGGATATTACATGTTTATTCATTAGATGAGTATTCTTTTTTAAAAATCCTACAATTTTTTTTTTTTAAACTTGTATACAAATAAGTAAATCAAAATCATTTATTAAATATTTATCATCAATGACTTTTTCAACAAAATCCTCATTATGGAATGATATTGAATTAAAAGATATTTTATCATATAAAACAATATTATCAATTCAATCAAATATAAATAATTCCTTATCACCAATAAATAATTTAACTCCAATGTGTATTCAATCATCAAATAAAACAAATGTATCAAGAAAAGTATTTCAATCGAATACAACAGATCAATTAACAATAAGATTTATTATTTGATTTATTTAATACAATATTATACATATATATTTATATCTTTTTTCCCTAATTTCAAATAATTATAACAAATGAATATGATTTATTTTAATTGAAAAAAAAATTGTTTCCAAATTTTCATTAACGAAAATTTTTATTTTGAAAGAATTTTGTTCATAAATATTTAAAAACCATGAAATATTTAGTCCGATCTAGTAACAAGAAAAATTGGTCCCTTAGAACACTTTATTTTTCTTCTTTTCTATATTTATCATGAAAAAACAATGAGAAATCATTTAATAATATATATCATCGATTTAAAAAGAATTTATTTCTTTTTCATAATCGAGCTCGACGAAAATAAACTCATCTGAAATTCTATGAAATATGATAATTGACGTCGACCTTTTCTAAAAGCTTGTCAAACAATGAAAATAATTCGATAAACAATAACCATTTTAAAGTCTGTCTACGGTGAACACTTGTTTTTCTTTCTAGAGCACACTTTTTATAGAGGATATTAGAGAAAAATGACGATAATTTCCTATGGTGTCAATCTTTATTTTTAGATGTAGAACCCCTTGGAATTTAATTTAAGAAAGAAAAAAGTTGATTGAATTTGATTAAAATCGTTTAATTGATTTTATCAATATTCAATGAATATTTTTTTTTTCTCAAAAATTTTCAAAATTGAATTAACAAAAAAACGAAGGAAAATATCTTGTCGAAGATTTTTATTTTTATTCAAACAAATATTATTATAGAATAGACCAAAGGCATTTTATTTGTCTTAGTTAACTAATTAAAATAAATCTTTATTAATA